ATTTCGTTTGTTTATTATTAAATATTATTTATTTATCCTTATAAACTTTTAGTTTATTTAATTTCAGATTATTCGTTTTCAAATACATTTTAAGCTTAATTTATCGTATCATTTTTAAAAATTTATTTATCGCTTTATTCTGTGCTTTATTATGTGGTTTTATTTTTATCATTATTTTCTTAATTAAAATTACATTTTTATTCTTATAAATTATTCGCATTATCGTTAGCGGAGTCCCAATAACAATCTTCTTCAGATTTTAATGCATTTTTTTAAAAATAATTAAGGTTTTATTGAAAAATGTTATGTGGCAATTTACTCATTTACTAGATTTTTATTATATATTAATATATTTATTAATTTTTTTAAAAAACAAATAAATTAAATAAATTTAATTAAAAAAAAAAAAAGTACTTAAAGTGCTTTTAAATCAAATTTTTTTTACTTATCTTTTCATTTCTATTTAATTTATATTTTATCCCGATGCTTTAAAAATATTAACATTTTTTTAAAATATTCTCAAAAATAGTTATTATGAATAAGAAATTTCTTGAAATTTTACATAAAATCAAATTTAATTAGTTATCTTAAAATACTTAGAAGTATTTTTTTTTTTTAGATTTTAAATATAATTATTGCTTTATATATTTCTAATATTTTTTTGTTTATTCTCATCATTTATATTTTTTGTATATTTATTCTCTTCTTTAATCTCTATTTAAATATCGTTTTTTTTTTTGGTGCTCCATTACGAACTACTTACTAAATTATTATTTTTATATCTATTTTTTTAAATTTTAATTAAAATATTTTTTAATATTAACTTGTAAGTTTGAGATTATTCCATTATTGAAAAAAAAAGTACTTACATAAAAATATAATCTGAAGTTGGTAGTTTATTTTTCTAAAAATTAGTATTTTCATACAAAAAAAACTTCATATTTAAAATAAATTAAATATGATTATCAAATACATAAATATCTTAAATATATGAAAACTTTATTTATATTAATTTAATTTTAAAATAAATAATATAAATTAAGTAAATGATTTTTAACATACAAATATAAATTAAGTATATGAATTTTAACATATAATAACTATACAAAAAATTTAGTTTAATTAAAATATTAATGATTAAATAAATTTAATAAAAAAAGTAATTAGTTTATTACTAAATCTTTTTTGAGAAAAAAAATAATTAAAACTCAATCAAATTTTGTTATTATTTTAGTATTTTTAAAATATAAGATAATTATAATAAATTGTTCGAATTCTATTAAATCTACGCTTATCCATAAATATTAGATTTTAAGCTAAAATTTATAAACATATATAAATATATATTTAAATATATAAATATATATATACATATATATTAATATATATATTTGAGTTTTTCTAAATTAAAAAATATATATATATATAGTTTATCTATATTCTGATATTTAATTTTATAATAAAATACAACATTTTTTAGTTTTTTCTTTTAATTTTTTATATCTTTTCACCTCTCTTTGTTCTTGTTTTTTGAGTTTTATAAATTTATTCATTAACTTTTTTCTTCAGTTAGTTACTATATTTTATTATCCTAATTCAATAAATTTCCTGATTAGCATAATACTTTTTAATAATCTATACTTATAAGTTTCATTATTTCATTAAGATCTTTCTTAAAAAGATAGTTTGTTGTCTTGATCATCTAATTTAAATTTATTAAGTCAACTTCAAACTTATCATTAATCAATTACATAAAAAGCATTATTTTTATACAATTATAATGTAAAAAAAAACATTTTCGTTTATTTATTCTTATAAGATTCGTATATTGTACTTTTTATAATTTAAAAAATTATAAAGCTCATCTATAAATTTTAAATTAAATAATTACTAAAAACTATTTTATTTATAATTTGCCTTTATAAATTAATGATATTCTGAATTTTATTTATTTTTGGTTTTGCTATGATATTTCTGTTTTACATATAATTGAAAATAGCATACTTACTTTTTTATATTAGTCCTTTTTTTAAAAAAATATTCCCAATAGTATAAAAGCATATTATTATTAAAATTTTCCTGTATATAAATATCTAAAGAAATCATAAAATAAAATTTAAAAGGTAAATAAAAAGCTCAAATAATAAAACATATCAATAATGATAATAAAAACATTAGAATACTAAAAAAAAATATTTATGATAAAATTTAATTTATTATATGGATTGTCTATAATATGTTTTTAGGAGTGTAAAAATCAAATTTAAATAATTTTTTTTTAAAAAAATTTTGTAAACATCAGAATATAATATAAAAATAATCTAATTTATTAACTATTTTTTCTTAAACAGAAGTTTAGAAAAATTTGTTTAATTTTTACAACTTTTATATTTTCTAATGAATCCATATTTTATAATTCTTACTCATTTTTAATCAAATTAATTTTTATTTTTTAAAAAAATATTCAATAAAAATAAGTGTGTGATTTCTGAGATATTATTATAGGTAGTTTTTTAATCATTTAAAACTTTTTAATTATAACTAAACTCTTAAATGGCCATATATGTATATTGAATATTTTTATTTTTTCTTTTTAATGTAAAATAAGAAATTTTTTTATCAATTTTTAAATATAATAGATTAGATTGATTATTCTTAAACAAATATTATATTAAAAGTTGAATAATAAGATTTTTTGTTTAAAAAAAAATTAATTTTATTTTTTCTGTTTAAATTTTTATCTTTAAAAATAAAAATAAAAGTTTTTTATGAATTAAATTAGTTTTTTGTAAAAATATAAATATAAAATCTGATTTTTTTTATTTTATTTTTCATAATTTTCTATATAAAAACTTACTTACACTTTATTCTGATTATAAAAGTGTTTAATTTTTATAATTTCTTTTTACAAAAATATTTTATTTTTAAGGATTATAAAAATTAACCATTAAAAAATCAGAAGATTTCTTATTTAAAAGTTTTTAAAAGCAATCTTAACCATTAGCATTTTCTAAGTTTTTATAACTTAAAGAAAAGCTTTATCTAAAACCTAAATTATTTTTTATATTCGAAAAAACTTTTTATAATTTATTAGAGATATTAACTTATAAAGCATCATTTTATTTATAAAACTACTAATACTTTTATTATAACATTTTTTGAGATAAATTACAATATTTTATTTCATGTCTTTACATATTTTTTTTACTACTAGATTTATAAGATTCTGACTAGGTTTTTCTAAAAATCTATTATATTTATTCGTTTTAAATATTATTTTATTAATTATTTTCAATAGCACTTTCGTTATTTTTTTTAGATTTTTATTCCCTCCAGTTATATATATAATTAAGTTTATTTTTATTATTGCTATTTATAAAAAAATATTGTTAAGATTTCTAATTTATTTCATCCAAAAAATAGCCTTTTTATCCTTCTCCTTCTACATTTTATACTTCTTATATATTGTTTTCTGTCACGCCGCAAATTTTTCGTGTACTTTATAGTCCTTCTATTTCTAATGTATATTATTTTTATAAAAGTTTCACTTTTCTCATACAAGAAGTGAATTATTCAGATTTTTCTTTTGTTTTTGGAGTAATCATTTATGAGCTATTATTATAATAAATTTTTTTCCTTTTTTTTATGTATTTACATTTTATTCATTTTAAAGTTTATACGCCTTGGTGTAGAACCCTGATTTTTATTAAAGTTTTCATTTACTAGATATTATCCATATTAAAATAAAGAAAAGTTAATATTATTATTTATTTTTTTTATAATTTATAATTTTTTATTAAGTCTCTCATCTATTTAAACTTTACAAAAAGGATATATGCTCTATAAAAAACATTAAAAATCTACAAAAACTAGTTCTCCTTATAGACTTTAACAATAAGCGGAAAATTATCTATTTTTTTTTTATAAAATATCTTCTTCCCCAAAACATTCACCAGGATTTATATTTCTAATCTATTTTTTTATATATATATTATAAATTTAAAATACATTAAATATCAAAATAAAAAAACTACAGTAAATTCTTTACATAAAATTTTTTAATTTTATTATTATCTTCTTATTTTGTATTTTTTTTGTCATTTTCTTTTTTGTTTTATTAATTGAAAATTTTCCTAATTTCGAAAACTCCATTTTTAACTATATAAAAATACTAACTAATCTAATTTTCCCCAAAAACCAATCCATTTTTACCAAAACTTTCACATACAAAAGAGCTTGCTATCTTAGTAATCTATTCTAAACTCATTTTTTATATTAATGGGATACTCATTAAAAAATCTATTAACCTCCAATCTTTATTTTATATCAAAGGGCTTAGTATTTCATTTTAAGTTTTTTCATTTATTATACCTAATAAAGAATTTTTAAGTGCTTTTATTTCTTAGAAATCTTAAACTTATTAAGAAATTTATTTATAAGTAAAACAATCTAGATCTTTATATGCCCCTACTATTTTTTGATTTTTATTTATTATCCCTATATTTCCTTTTATTACTAATACTATGATATTTTTTTTAGTTTCTTTTTGTTTTTTTTTTGGGTATATTTGTTTTTTATTTATTTATTTTGTTTACTTTAAGAAAATAAAATTTGATTTTAAGATATTTCCTCATATTATATGAATCTACAATATAATAAAGAAAAAGGATTATAATTTTCATTGAATATTGGAACAGGTAGTTTTTGAAGATACTCTAATTGTTCTTTTGTCCTATCTCTGGGATTTGTTTTTAGAATACTTACTATTTTTTTCTTTTTTTGTTTAATTTTTTATAAGTTATAATTATTTTTATTTTACTTCATAATCATTTTCTTTCATATTTATTTTTTTCGATTATTAAAATAAAAAAATCCAAGAAATAAAAAATTTAAAAAATAAATAAATTAAGAAAGAAAATACCATTAATATAAATAAATATAAATTTAAAAATAATTATATATAATAATTATAAATATTAAAAAAAAAAAAAAAAAAAAAATCATTTTATTAAAATTTAAGGTTTATTATTATAAAACTATATTTAGCCAATGATAAAAATATCAACAGTTAATTAAGTAATTCCACAAATAAGGAATTAAAAAGGAGCTTCAGTATAAATAAAATAAAAAGTTTTGAAAAAATCACCCAAAAACCATGACCCTATTAATCCATAGCTGATTCCACAAGCATTTTTATTTCTAAAGTTTTAAATAGCTTATGGAAATCCAAGTGTAGCCTTTATAATAATTAAATTATATTTATAAATAAAAAAACATATTTTACTTCAATTAATGCACTAATTAAGCCTAAAGATTATACAAATAAATGACTTTAAACAAAACTTAAAGTAATCATAGTTGATAAAATAGCAAATGTCATAATTGCTTAAACTTTTTAATTATAAAAAAAATTAGATATAATATATATATATATATATAAATATATATTTAAATATATATATATATATATATATTTAATTTATTTTACGATAATTTTTAAAATCATACCATCTCCAAAAATTATTCCAAAATTTAGAAGATGCAATTCCAATATTTAATTCATTTATCTCTTTTATATGTTCTTTTTATTTATCATAATACATTATTTTAATGCATTAATTTAATAAGATTATCTATATATTTTTTAATTTATTAGATTTATTTATTGTATATTTTGATTATACTTAAGTCATTATCATTAATATTGATTGCAATAATAAAGGTATTTCATATTATTCTCCAAACCAAAATAAAATTCTTAAAATATTCGCAAATATTAATATTGCGCATACATCGATACTAAAATTTCCTACTGTTTGATCTTCTTTTACTTTTTAATATTGAGCATAATAACCATACACTGGTCCTATAACCATTCCTTTAAAATATTTACAAATAAAAAAATATTTTGATGATAAAAATAAAAACCTGTGTCAATTAAATAATCCATTTTTTTTTTATTTTTCTTAAATTTTTTTTTATAATATCTATTAAATTTAAATAATATTTTTATAATTTTTTATCAAGAAAGAAAAAAATATAATTTTTTTTTTTTTTTGTAAAAAAAAATACTAATTTATTTATATATTAAAAAAATAAAAAAAACTTCATTAAAAAAAATTATAATAATTCATTTTGTTATAATTGTTTTTTTAATTTTAAGTTCAGAATCTTATAATTAATATAAGTAAACATCAACTGATTTTTCTTTTATTTCCAAAAGCAAGAAAGATGGCAAAATATTTCTTTTTTTTATATATATATAAATAAATAAAAATAATAATATATATACTTCGTAATTGGACTATAAGCACCTGTAATTGAACCAGGATTTAATAAATATTTTTTATCAATTTTGCTTGCTTTTTAATCATGTGTATGTCCACTAATCAATATATCAGTATCTAATTATCTTAATTAATTATATAAAGCTTCTTCGTCTCCCCAAGGAACAACCTTAAAAGAAAATTTAAATTAAAAAAATATAAAAAAATACTTAATGTCCATGAATTAATGAAATTTTAAAATTGCCAATTTTAATAGTTTTTATTTCTGGAAAATCATTATTCTATTTTATAAAATAATAAAAGGGTTATATATTTATTTAAAATACATCATCGAAATCTCCTTTAACTATATGACAATTACTTGATAATGATTTTACCCAATCTAAAGTATCTCTAGAACCAATATTTCCAGTGCACATTACATATTAAACTTTGTTTGGAACCTTTATTTTTATTGCTTAAAAATGAAAATGCTATTTGTTAATTGAATTTTTACAATTAATTCTTTAAATTAATCTGGAATATCTGTAGAACGCATTGGTATATGGAAATCTCCAAAAACTACAGCTAGCTTTTTTTAATATTTTTTTGTTATAAATAAATATAAACAAAAAATAAAGAAACAAATATATATTCTAATATAAAAATATAATATATATATTAAGAATAAATAAATACTTCTCCAAACTCTTCTTCTTCGTGATTTTCAGCCATTATTAATTTTTTTTTTTATATTATGATATTTTTATTTTTTTTAAAAAAATAAATATATTTATATAATAAAAAATAGATATTTTTAATTGAATTTTTTCTTTTTTTCTTTTTTAATTTTGAATAATTATTTTATATATTATATTCTTTCAATAAAAAATAAATCGCTTCGGAGGGAGAATTGAACTCCTGTGCCTTTCGACACCCACGGGCTTGAAACCCGTCCTGGACACCAGTCCAACTCACCAAAGCATTATATTAGGCATCTAAAATATTAATAGTATACGTGCTTTTCTTTTTTTTATTATTATTTAGTTTAACATCATTTTATTAGAAAATATTAATATTGTTTTTATTTCATTTATTTTATTAATAATTTGATTTAAAACTATTGATTATATTCTTATTAATATAGTTTATAATCAAATGTAATTTAAATTAATTCATTTATTTATAAAAACGGATGTATTTTATTTATATATAAGAATTTTTAGAAATTAATACATATAAAATTATATAAAGATAAAATAAAAATAACCATAAAATATATACATACGAAAAAATCATAAAAAAGATCTACTATAAAATCTCATATTATATTATCAATTTTTATTATTTTATTTAAACATAAAATATTAAACATCTAAATCTTATCCTAAATATAATTATTTTGTAATCACTGCAATTTTTTCCATAACATTCATCTAATTAACCCCAAAACCTTTTCCTTAATAATTAGATGACGGTGTAGAAATAAGTCTATTTTAAAAGTCAATTTATATGCTTTTTCCTCCTCTTTCAAATACATTGCATCCTAAATTTTTTAAAATTTTAATAGCTTCTTAATTTTTCCAAAACTAAAATGCGATATCCCTATCATTACTTTATCCAGTTGTTAAAGAAGGTTTATATTTTTACAAAACTTTTCCTATAGTTATTGTACCTAACCCTAAAGTAATTATTGGCTTTTTTTATTTATGAAAATCTAATATTATTTTTTCCAAGTCTTCATTTACGCTAAAATTTTCTTTTTTTTCTTAGTAATTAGTTAAATTTATTGCCACGCCTTGGCCTCCAGGTATAAATAATGCCTAAAATTCATCAACATTTAATTATTTTAAAGTATTTATGTTTCCTCTTGATATTCTAGCAGATTCAATAATTGATTATGGAGGCGAAAAACATTAAAAATTTGTTGTATTTTTGTCTAAATTTAACATTATAGAAACAGCGTCGTATAAATCAGTACCTTTTTTTAAGATTTATATGAATAAATTATAATAAAAATTACCTGTTTTATTCCCACATCCTGATAATATTATTGCAGCTTACTAAAAATCATTTTTATTTTATTGAGATATATTTTGATTTTTTAATGAAAATCTTTATATAATAATAGATTTTTATATTTTTATTGTTTATTTAATATTCATTTTTATTAAAATAAAAATATTTTTATTATTTAAAAATAAAATATTTTTTATAATTTAAAAATTATAAAATTAAAGTAAAAAAAATTTATTTAGAAAATATTAAAAATAAAAATAAAATTCATAAAATTTTTGCTTTTTATTTAATATTAATAAATAAACATTATAAAAATATTGATATATTATTTTTAAATATAATATATAAATAATTTAAAAATTAAATATATTAATAAGTTTATTTTATATTTTAATATTTTATAATTAAAAATTTAGTTACATAAAATTTAGATTTAAAGATAAAAATAAATTTTAAATTTATATTGTTTAAAAAGATTATTATAGAAATAATAATTTTTATATAAAAAAAAATATATGATATATTATTTAAAAAATATTGGTTTTATTTATAGATTATTTTTAAATTACATTCATAAAAAATATAAATATATTAGACTAAAATTTATATATATATAAAAATTATAATTATATAAATTACTATATAAAATATATAATAAAAATAATGTTAGTTATATAATAAAAAAATAAAAAATAAAAAATAAATATAATAAGATATAAATTTATATATTTAAAAATATAAATAATATAATATATATATATATATATATATATATATATTTATATATATTTTAATTATTTTAAAAATAAATATTTATCTATATTTAAAAATAAATCGAATTATATTTTTAATACTATCTATAAAATTTTAAATTTTATTTTTAAAATTAATTTTATAAATATTTATATTTATTTTATTATTTTTTTATTTTACAATTATATTTATTTTTTCTATAAATATTTTAATTCAAATATTTCTATCCGAATTTAATTTTATTTATTAATAACTTTTTTATATATTTAATTATTTTAATTTATTCTTTATATTTAAATATATTTTATATAATATAAATTTTTTATCTTTATTAAATAATATTATATATTAAAAATTTTTATATATCATCTATCTTTAATAAATTAAATATTTTTAACATTGTAAAATAATATGATTTTTATTAAATATTTTTCATTTATTATTTTAAACGTGATTTCATTTATCTATTTTCATTTTTATTATTATTATGAAGGCTGATTATAAATTGAGTTTTTTGAACTTAAAGAAGATAAGTAATTTTAATTTATTTTTTCTTCATCCTAAATCGTTTCTTTTCTTACTATATTATCTTTTAAATCATTTTAATTTTTATTTTTAAAAAACATTTATTATATTCCTCCTTTTATTACAGGCTAAAATCCATATAGAATAGAATTTAAAAATCCTTAACTCCTTTCAAATAATAATTATATTAGTTAAAGCCAATAAGGAACATTTATATCATTAAACTCTTCCAAAATAAATATAAAATAAATAATAATATATAAATACCTAGAATCCTTACAACAGAACCCCAAAATCCAACAATAATTAATATATATGGAAAATAGAACATTTTATTAAGACTTTTATTTTCTTCAACTGATAGTTTAAGATTTTAATAAATATACTTTTTAGTTTTAGTAATAAAAATACTTACAACTACAAAAATAATCCATAAAGGCCCTTATTTAGTTAGAATTTTAAATCCAATTTCAATTTTTGGGTCCTCATTCTAAACCCAACATTAATAACTTCCAATTCCATAAGAATGTGCAAATAAAGGACTTTATTTTTATTTTATTTAATAATTATTTTAATTTTTTTTACATTATAATTATTAATAATGGTATTAAAAAACCCACCAAAAATAAAATATATTATTTATTCTATATTTTTTATTAAGGAATTTCCTTTACTACAGTTAAATATAACACAATAGATACTTATCCGACCCAAAATATGGATGATAAGTCTCCCCAAGAATTTAAAAAAGCCTAAATTTAACAAATATTTGAATTCTAATATATACTAGGTCTTTCATTTAATTCAAAAGAAGGTATTAATAAAAAACCTATATTAGAAAATAAATCACTTAAGCATATTTACATAACCATTTTTAATGCTAAACTTCTCTAATACTTTAATATTATATATAAAACTATTACAAATAAAGAGCCTAGTATTGATAAGCAAGAAGTAATTAATGATATTATTCCAATTGAATAATAATATTTTTCTAATCTCATTTATATATTAATATTTATTTATTTTTATTTTTATATTTATATTTTATTGTTTTTTTTTTTTTTTTTCGAATAAAAAAGAAATTATTTTATAAAAAAAAAACAAAGAGTCAAAAATAATAATAAATAATATCTAAAAAAAAAATAAAAAAAAATATAAATATATGGCAGCATAAGTATCCGAAAATAAACAATAAATAAAAAAAAACTGGGCAGAAATAGATGCCGAATAAGAAGCTAAGGAACGTAAGCCTAAAATAAAAGTAGAAATATCAACATATGTCCGTGAAAAAGGAGGTGAAAACCCAAATTAAAAGATTTAAGAAACAATAAAAGTAACAAAATTAGTATTCCCAGTAAGAAAAATAGTAAAAAGTAGAAAATAAATTGATAAATTTGGCGAAGTAATAGATATTCCGAAAGGATAATAAAAACCAGGAGATAAAGTATAAGTAGCTGATGTAAATATTCAAACTAATTTGAATGCAGAAAAAGGCGAAATCGATATTGTTAATTAAATTGATAGAATTACTACTGATAAACTCAAAATGAAAAAAGAATAAGAAAGAATGGAATAACTTAAAAATGCTAAAACTATGCCTAATGATTCAAATAATTAACCTGTATAATAAGAAGATTTTAAATAAGTTACTGACAAAAAAAATAAAGGAAATTAGAAGATCTCGATTTTAATGTTGAATAGGAAGAATACTTAGTTGATATTTCAAATATTTTACCTTTCTTAGGACCTAAAACACAATAATAAATGGAATGTAATTAACATAAATTAAAAAATAATATATACATATATATATATATATATATATATATATATATATATATATATATTTTATATATATTTATATATTATTCTTATATAAATATTATTTATATAATTATTTTTTTATTTATTTTTTAAATTTCTTTTTACATAGAGGAGGAAAATTTATTTAAATAATATTTGGAATAAATTATTGGCAAATCAGGATTTTAAAATAGATATAATATTAGGTTTCCTAAACATAGAAAAACTAAAGAACTTATGGGTAGAGTTTTGCTTATTTTCACAAATTAAAGTTAAGCAGAAGAGACTATTGAAAAAATTGATTAATAAAGATATGGTGTTTGCATTTTAAATGCAGGATGGTACGTAAGTAGAGGTGATTATGGCGGGAGAAGATGAGAATAAGAAATAACCAAATACAAAATTTAAATAAATAATAAGTAAATATTTAAAAAATATAGTATATATATTTTATATTAATATTTTTTTTTTAAATAAATATATTAATCTAATATTAATTTTCTTTTAAATTTTACCTTTCTTTATATTTACAATTTTAAAGTTATATATTTTTTATTCTTTTAGAAACCTATAAAATTCTAAAGATAGATAATTACTTAGTTTAACTAAAAATAAAATAAAATAAAATAGTTTTTTTTTCATCTTCCAATATCCATAATTTTTTATAAAAGAAAAACAGTCATTTAATCTTTTTTTACATAAATAAATAATTTAAAAAAAAAAATTACCTTCAGTAAGTCTCTTATAAGGTATAATTTATATAGCCTTTTTGATAGTAAGATATTCTGTTTTAAGTTTTCTCATATAAAAACCAATAATAAGAATAAAAATAAGAACATAAAAAATACTCCCTAAAATAAGAATAAGTTATAAGTTACTTACAAATTCATCTTTAATCCTTATATTTTCACCTTCGAAATAACCAATAATAGTTTTAAGAAAAAAAATTACTAATTAAAGTTGTATAAGGCTTTCTTAATATTCTTTACTTTCCCCAAGCTAAACCCAATCTTTAGTTAGCATTTATATTTAAATAATATTAAAAACAGTCTTAATGGTATTCAAAAGACCCCTATTAAGAAGTCCTTCCATATTATTTTGACAAGTATTTTTATATTTTTCATCCAAAATTTTTAAATCACAAACTCTTCCACTGATTAATTCATAAAGATTAGTTTTAAAATTACCTTCTGAACTTAATGCTATATTTAAATATTTTTCTGTAAAAAAAGTTGTTGATTATTAAAATAAATCATCTCTTAATTACATAATTTCTTATTTTTTTAAATTACTTACATATTAAAATCCTTTCTTCTAAAAGAATAAATTATTTAAAATCAGTATATTATGCGAAGATTGCATTGCAGAAAACTATAGACAAGCTTCCACAAAATTTTTATAATTTTCAGCCGGAATTCCAAATTTAGAAGAAAACTAATCCATATAAATAAATATCTATATTTTTTAAAAACGAATTTAAAAATAAATATAATATAATAATTCTTACAATTAAGAAAAAAACAGTAGACAATAAACAAAGAATAAATAGTGTGAATAGAAAATTTAAAAATTACAAATTTTACTTAGAAATCCGATCATATAAATAATTTTATCTTTAATATTTACTTTTTTTGGCTTTATTTCTTTATGAACTAATCTTAACTTGATTTTCAGACTATTCTCTTAAAGCCAAATTAGAAAAATCTAAATGTAAATATTCATCATCATCAGAATATAACTTTTTAGAGATAATCCTTAAGTTATCAATAATATCGTTAGTTTCCTCCTCTTTCATTCTACTAACTATCATTAGTATTCTTTAAGAATTAAATCTCAAAGTTCTATATGATGGATAAAGGAATCCAAAGGAAAGTATAATCAAGAAAATAGCTAAAATAACAGAAAATTAATTAAGAGTAATAATTGAAGATTTTAGGCTTTCTACATCATTATTAACTTCTATTTAAGATTAATGGACGAGTTTATAAATATTTTATAGATTATTTGTTAAAATAAACCTTTAATCATTTTATTCTAAAATTAATTTCTGAATATTTTCTAAAGTTAATTAATAAATACTCTCACCTACTTTTTTCAAAAACTCTGTATAATAAAGTTATACTTGACTTTCTTTATTATCGGCTTTTACAATAGCCTCTAATGTAAAATCAAAAATGCTATTCTGATAACTATATTTTACCTGTTTTCCTATTAAATTAAAAAGAGCTTCTTTATAATCATCATAACTTGTTTATATTTAAGAAATAAGAAAATTATGAATTTAAATATCATACTGGTATCCCAATTTTAGATTTTTAAGACAAACCAAATCCGTAGAAATTAAAGTTTAACTAACCGGCAATAATAATTTTGCTTATCTTCCCATTTCATTAAGTCCAGAAGTATAATCGTTAAAGTTTTGAGAAGTAGTAATAACTAAAACAATAACCACAGTAATAAAAACAGTAAACTAAAATAAGAACACAGTATAAAGTAAAAGCATAAATGCAGGTGTATCTTAACTAGAAGTATTAGTAATAATACTCTTTAAGATAACATTTGTAGAGGAATTTACGGAATTCGATTATGATCCTTATTCATAATTATTGTTATTATTATTTGCTTAATTCATTTTTTTAAAGTGTTCTGCTATATCTACTTTATCTTCATTTTCTGCTACACTTATTTTTACAGAATCTTTACTTTCTTCTTCCTGATTTTCGTTATTCTATTATTTATTATTATTACAATCTTCATTTGAATTATTGCTTTTTATAATTTAATTGATTTGTTCTTAATGCTATGTATTCAAAAAATAGTTATTACTTTCGTCTATTTCTGTTGTTATTAGTCCTTATTAAACTTCTGTTTATATTATTATTTCTTTTTCTACTTCTTCTTCTTCTTCTTATTTTTTAATTTCTAATTGTTTTTTGGATTCCTATTAATCATCATCTTCATCTTCAACTTCTTCGTCATCTTTTTCTTGCAGTTCTTAATTTACAAGTCTTAAATTTTGATTATTATTCGAATTTTTTGATTAATTAGTTCCAGTACTAAATATTGAATTTTAGACTTCATCCCAAAACACATAGCTTTAAATCTCTACATAATACAAAAGTACTTCAGATTCTTCTAAATGAAAGAATTCATGATAGAAATTAAAAGTGATTTCATATTCAGTTTCTTTATTGTTTTCGAGTTAAACACCACAAGTGAAACTATTTATATTATTTATCCATTCTTTTGAAAAAGATTTTAAATTCTAAAAATTTGAATGATGCTAAATAAAACTATTTGCCATTTTTATAGTATCTTTTTTTTATTTAATTTTTTTTTTAAAAAAAAAAAAACAAAAAAAACCTTTTGGAACTATCATTTTAAATTTCAAAAACGAATATTCTTCTCTTTTATTAAATTTCTATAAAAAATCCATAAATTGAGGAATTAAAAAAGCTATATGACATTTCTTCATAAACTATTAATCCATATCTTCCGCATGTATTAATTAGGCAAAACCTTTACAAATTCCTTCAATATAACCACTCGAATTCAAAATAATAAACATAAAATTTGAAGGTTATTTAACAATAAGTGATGAAAAAGCAAAGTCATCTTATTTTACGAAATAATAATTAATAAAGAGCTTTACTTTGAATATATATCCTCCTTAATCTAATCCAAACATTGGTCGAAAATTTCTTACACTTTTAGCAACTCCAGTATTAACTAATCTTTTTAAAAAATAATCATGTAAAATGCTAATACAATTAGGAATAAGGAATTTAATATTTTCCTTTAAAAATTATAAATATTTATTTTTATTAAAATATATAAATATATATATTTATATATTAATAACTATAAGTTAAAATTCCTATCGTCCATAACTAAATATAGAAGGTATTTTTTCTGAAAATTTTAATATTTTTCCATTATTTTATAAAGATTAAAAACTTGCAATTATACTTCCCACATTTCCTTATAAAATATTACAACTAGTAATTGTATTTGAACTGTCTTAAGCTTTATCTTTTATTATTACATCATCGAATTCTTATTCTAACTCTTTACAATGTAAAGGATCAAAAAGTACATATGCACTTAATAGAGATTTAAATTTAAGAAAATAAATATTGCCTTTATTTTTATTTATTTCTTCTTATATTGTTTTCTCAAAATATTAAACATATTTTAGAAATTCCAGTGTATCTACTCTCATTTTTTCTAAAGAATTAAATCCTTTTATCATATTTTCAAAATATTGACATTTATCTTAAATTAAAATACCTTTTTTTTAAAAAAAATAATAAAATAAAGGATATAATAAAAAAAAAATATTTATAATTAATTACCCAATAATTTCTTTAATTTATCTTTTATTGTTTCAGAATTTACCATAACATCAAATTTCGAGTTATTAACTGCATCATATCTATCTTTTTAACTATTTTATTATTTAAGATAAATAGAAATATTATCTTAAAGAAATACCTATAAGAATAGAAATGAGCCTTATCCCTTTCTTTAATTCTGTTTTCGATTAGATTAGTTAAACTCCTCTCCACAGTACAGAAAAATGAGCCTTTATTTTTTAATTAATTAGCCATTACTTTATTCTAATATAAAGCTTTTATTTAATTTTTTTTAAACTTTATTAAAAAAAACCAATATCTTAAACTAACTTCCTGTTAAAAGATATATTAATAATAAATATTTTATTATTTAAATAAAACAAAAATACTTAAGCATCTTCTTCTTAATTTTTTCTTATTAAATCAGTAATTAGTTTTTCAAAAGAAAAATCAATATATTCCATAAACCATATTTCGAAAATATCCATTGACTGTGAAAGTCTTGGAAAATCAACTCCTTTTATTTTAAGATCTTTACCTAAATCAATAACCATTCCTCCAGAAATAGTTGGTTTTTCATCGCCTTTAAACAAAAAAAATACACTTATAAAACTAAAAATAAATACCTGCTAAATTATTAAATTAAGACATTTTACATGGACATTTATTAGTATTGCAATCTTTTTTATGTAAAATAAGTGCTCCAAACATAATTAGTTTTGAAGATTAACTAGTCGAATTTTATTCAAACAATTAACATAATTTTTCTAAATACAAGCAAGTAGATTTTGGATAATCTTATAAAAATAAAGATTTTATTAAATATTTTATATTTTTATTTGTTAAAAAAAATATACCACTCAATTTACTTGAATCAATACACATACATTAAACAAACTTATTATTCCAAATAGTTTTCATAATTCCGAAACAAACAACAATACAAATAAAAAAAATAATGCAAAAGTTTTAATCAGTAATCAAATTGGTAAACTCTCTTATTAATATTTGAGTCATAAAAAGTTCAAAAACAATAATAAGCCATCCATAAATATCAGATATATTCTTGTCAACAAGTGGGAAATGAATAAAGTATTCAAAAAGTAAAAAAATAGCAAAAAAATGTCCTAAAATAATCATTAAACTTGTATTCTAATTAAAAGATATAAATACCATTAATACTTCTAAAATCGGTTCTACTAGTTTAAATTTACTATATCTAGATTTTAATTAATTAACAGTATTTAGTTCTTTTAAATTAATATTTAAACTAAATAAATAATTAATCAATTACCTGGATTATGATAAATTAAAATTACAATTAAGTTAAGAATAAAAGTAGTACTAATTAAAACTATCGTAAAAAGTATAATAAGATAATAAAGGAATGAATTCTTATCATAATATAAACACTTTTAGCATCTTTAATTAACTTCGGACCCTTAAAAATCGCAAACTAATACAGTAAAAATAATATCTAACTTAACTAAACTATATATCCATTTTTAATGTTCTAAATAAAATTGAAGATTTCCAATTTAATTTCCTTATTTTTTCATTACATCACAATCCTCTATTAATAAATGAAAAAAATAGTTTATTTTTTATAAATAAATCAAACAAAGTTACCTTTTATATTCTAAAAGCTTAAATTTAAACACGTACTTACCAAATATGATTCATAAATACTCATGACAAATAATGTAATAAATATTATATAGTCGCTTTTCATTTATGAAAACATCGGGGTTATGCGTATATATTCATTTAAATAAAATAAATATTATAAATATTAGTCCTTTGGTATTTTTTCAGATAAGCTAATAATAAAACCACATATTTAACAAAAATATATTGTAACTAATGCCACATAATATGACTTTGTTCTATTTCTTTCACTATCTTTTAAAAACATTAAAAGAAATAAATTTGATAATGCATCATACAATTAATCGGATAATGGTCTTTTTATATCTAAAGAACGTTTTTTCTTATTCATTTTTTATATTTTACTATATAAAAAAATAAATATTAAATATAATTTTTTAATGTTTAAAAGTATTTTAAAAAATCAATTTATTATTTTAACTATTAGTAATTAAAATTAATATTTATTTTAAAATTAATAATTTTATATAATATAATTAAAAATTAATTATTAATATTATTTGAATTTATAAGAAAACCATATTTTTTAAATAAAATAATAATTAATTTGAAATTTAAAATATAAAATATATTAATATAATAAAAATAATTAATATTCTAACGAAATTCCAATTTTGCAAAATATTTTAATAAATTTTGTAAAAGAATATTTCGAAAAATAATTAATATTTAAATATACTTTAATTATATAATTATAATATATAATTTAAATATTATACATTTTTAAGATATATTTAAAATATAAAAATATTATATTATTAAAATAAAAAAAATATTATATTATTAAAAAAAAAAAAAATTATTTATATTTTTAATAGTTATATAATATATATTTTTCTTATCTTTATATACTTTTTTAAATAATTTTAAAAATAATTTTTATTTATTATAAATTTTTATCTATTTTAAATTTTGTAAATTAATTTATCTTTTCTTTACCTTTGTTTATTTTAATTAAAATTATAAGTTGATAAGAGTATATTTTCATTAAATTTATGAATAGTATATAATCAAAGTTTCGACTTTATATATGTAATAGTTTAACATAAAAATATTAATATAAAGTTAATAAAAAAAATCATCTTTTAATTTTTTTGTTTGATTTATCCCTTTAATTCAAAATCTTTTATTAAAAATAAGTTTTCCTTTTCCATATTAAAGATTATCTTTCCATATACTTTTATAAAAAAATTATTACACCATTTATAAATAATAAATTACAAAATTATAAACTAAATGGATGAATAAAAAGTTAAAACATTAAAAATTTAGCGTTATTGTTTAAAAATCAATTATAATAGCTAACTCAATTATTCCAATTATATTTGTCATATCTATTTTTCATCCTATTCTATATTCACCTTAAAACTTAAATCCTTTAAATCATAAAATCTCAACGCCTTATCCGTAATTTTTACTTAAAATAATTATCCTTAATATCAATAATATGCTTTAAGTTCTATATAGATCACTTTTCCCTTCGTAAATGTATTCATCTTTATTATATTAAACCTTTACCAAATATTTTTTTAATAAAAATAAGCTTTATTAAAATGATTATACTACTTAAATAATGATTCTCCATTAAGCTATATATATAAATTTATTCACTTTTAAGTAATTTAAAAATACTTAAATATGGTAATTAATAATTTTCTATATCATCAAAAAAAAAACTAAACAAATTTATTACGTTTATCATAAGTGCTTCAATTTTTTTCGAAAAATCTATTATTGTTGTGTAATCTTATTTAGTTAAAACTTATTTAATATAACATTATTGGGTAATTAATAGGACCGTCTATTTTTTAAAGTTAAACAAGTAAAATTTATATTTTAATTTTTATATAGTATGGTTCCATATATTATTATTATAATAAGGAGTAAATATTTATTTATAAGTATTTTTATGATATTTTAAATTATTATTTATTTAATTAAATTAATAAATTGATAAATAATTTAAATAAAAAAATATTTAAAATTTAATTATAATATTTATTGAGTATTTTTAATTTTTTAAAAATTTTTTTAAAATTGAAAGATTAAAAAATAGTTTGAATAAATTTGTATTGTATAATAATTATTTTATATATAATAAACATAAATAGTTTGTCAATAAAAGTTTTAAAAATATTTATTGATATAATTGATATTCTAAATAATAATAAAAATGATATAATAATTATTTTATATTATTTATATTTTATACATAAATATATATATTTATATATAATAAAATAATCCAAAATTTTAATAATATATTTTAATAATAAATTTTAAAAATAAATTTTTTATTATTTATTAAATATATTAAAAGAACATATTTATATTAATATAAATTTGTTTAATAAAAATGTTTTTTTATTTAAAAAATAAGGATACAAATTTAAATCATTTATTTATCAAAAAAAAAAAAAAAAAAAAAAAAGTAATATTTATTATAATAAATAAAAAATAAAGCAAATAAAACAAAAAAATTCTAATAAAAAATGTAAAAATAAGAATAATCTGAATAAAAACCCACTAATATTTTCCAAGTATTTATAAAAGATATCGATCTCGAAGTTGAAGAAAAAGATATTATAAGCTCTTTAGAAAAATATGGAAAGATAATTGCAATCAAATTAACTTAAAGCTTGTAACATAATCATAAATATTGTTTCTTGGGATTCGAATCTTAAGATTCTGGTAAGCAAATATATATTTATAATATTTAATATATTTTTTTCCTATAAAAGCTTAATAGCTACTTTCTGATAGTCAAAATGTGATTATATATTCTTAAAAAGTAACAGTAAAACCCTATTAATAAGACTTAGTAAATCTAAATAGCAACGCCTATGTATTTATAAATGGATTGCCATCAGATGTTACAGACAAAGATTTAATAGAAGCTCTTAACTAATATAAATTTGGAGAAATATTACATACTAAGGTTAAAACATCTCATCATCCTGGATCTTAAGGAAAACATTATGCTACAGTAGTATTTAGAAATGAATCAGAAGCTCAAAGTGCTATTTAATATGGAGTTTTATCAACTAAGTTTGGTAAAATTCAATGTGAGAGGTACAACCCTACATCTAAAAATGAAAAATGCTAAATTGTTATAAAGAACATTTAATCTTCAGTCAATAAAGAATAATTAGAAGTAAAAAATATAATATAAATTTATGAATTTTTTTTATTTTAAAAAGTAATAAATGCAATAAGATTTTGGAACTATTACTAGCTTTACAATAAAAACTTAAAGAACTTTTGAAAATAAACAAATGGCTTTTGTAACATTCTAAAAGCCAGAAGAAGCTGAAGCTGCATTGACTGGAATGAATCAGAAGAACTATTATTAGAGTAAAAATAAAAAAAATTAAATAATAATTTTTTTTAAAAAAAAAAAATAAAAATAAAAGATGATCCTTTGGATGTCTAATGGTACAAAAAAGAAGAAAGTGAAGATTCAAATGTTTACATAAAAAACATAAAAAATACAGTAAGTGAAAATACTCTTAAGCAAGCATTATAAAAATATGGTGAGGTAATCTCCTTTTTCTTAAATAGTCCAAAAGATAACTTAATTTAAACACGTTATGCTATCGTAGCTTTCAAAACAGCTGAATAAGCGAAAGAATTGATGAAAAACTCAAAAAAAGATAAACAATTTGCATCCCTTTTCAAAGATGATTATCCTTATGTAACTCCTCATTTAACTAAACAAGAAAAAAGTGAATATAGTACTACTAAAAGAGTTAATTAAAATCCAGCTCCTTTAAACTAATAAAATGTAAAATTAAATAAATAAAATAATTTTTAAATTTTAAAAAAAAAAAATAGTAATAAATGTTATAGTAATAATAAAATTATATTTAAAATATGCAAATGCAATATTTATTTATGTCATAATAATTAATGTAATAACGTGCCTAATTTATGTAAAATTAAGGACAATAATAGTTTTAATAACAAAGAAGACAAAATAACTATAATCCTTAATATAATAATAATAGATAATATAACTAAAATAAATAATATAACAATTACAATAACAACAATCAAAATAGAAATAATTTATAAGCTCCTTAAAATAACACTACTAATACTACTCCATCACCTCCACCTCCAGCAGTATAAATTATTCCAAAAGAAGAATTGTAAAAATAAGTTGATGCTATTGAAAATCCTTCCGATAAACAAAAGTTTTTCGGAAAAACTATCTTCAAATTAGTAGAAGCTGAAGTAGATAAAAAATATTTGACTTAAGTTCCTAAAATTACTGGTATGCTTATTGATGTAGAAGTTTTTGATTTCAATGAAATGTTAGATATTATATATAATAAAGAAAGTAGATAAGAGAATATTTAATAAGCCATTTAATTAATTGAAGAAAATAAGAATTGAAATAAATGCATTTTTAAATATTATTTAGAGGAAAAATAATAATGAGATATCTATATATATAATTTTTAATTAAAACTTTCAAAAATAAATAAAGAACATAAAAAAACTTACTGTGCAAAATCATTAATTATTATTTTTTTTTCCTTTAAATTATATTTAATAAAAAATATGCTTTTTTTTTTTTTTTTAATTTGAAAAAAAAAAAATATTTTTTTTTTTTTTTTTTGTGTTTCTATGTTTTTGTAGTTATAGTGTTATTTTTTTTTAAAAAAAAAAAAAAAAGAGCTTAATAAATAATTCTAATATAAAATCACTTAGCTTCTTTAATAAAAAGAGCTAAATTTTATTTAATATATTGAGAGTTTTATCGAATTGTATAAGAATCTTTTTTATCTTAAGAATACTTACTAGTAAATTATAAAGAATAATTACTGTTATATCCCTATTAAAATTATTCAGTAAAAATATTTTATATGTTTTAATGTTTTTAACATATTTGTTTCTAAGCTTTTTTCTTTGCTTATATTATTCTCTTTACCTTTTCTGTTTGAAAATTTCTTGAAAACTTTTATTTGAATTAATCTGACAATTTATCGCTATTATTTAAAAGAGGATTTAAAGATGGTAAAGTGATAATTTAAAAGTCTTCATTTTTTTACATTTTATAAACATCTTGTATTCTTTAATTTATAAATTCTCTTCTTATTCTCATTTCTTCCACAAATAAATCCCAACTTTTAAACTTTATTAAATTATTTTAGAATATTTAAAAATCTAAAGCATAAATTTCTGCAAAAGACGAAACAATTTAAGCATTAATTGATCTTTTATTTTTTTAAAAAGCAAAATCTTCACCACCAACACTATTAAAGTTCATTAAAATAGTAATTGGAATTTCTTTTTTTATTTCAAAAATAATTTGATTCCCTTAAATATTTCTATTTTTTTATATTATGTTTGATAATTCAACTTCTCCACTTTTAATAAAATATACAAAATTACAATCATCATCCTATTTAAATAACATTTATTTACATGAAAAATTCAAAATTTTCATGTCTAACAAAATAGACATTAATTTTGAATTAGGAATAGATTAAAAAAATAAAAACTTCTTCAAAAAACCTAATTAGTCCATTTTTAATTATTCATGATATGTCCCTAATATTTTATCAAAACCATTTTTTTATAAAACTATTACTACTGTATCATCTTTACAAATCATTGTACCAGTTCTATATATAAAATAAATCTTTAATATATTACAAAATACTAAATACCTTCTTTATTTTGTTAATAATGCTATTTCCCCAAAAGATTCTCCTGGATAGAAAGTTTTTATTAAATTCATATCAGAGTAATATTTTTTATAAAAATCTTCTTCTTTTTCATCGTCTTCAAATGTATCACTAAATTTAAAAGATTCTGATCTCTCTTTCTATTTATCTGATACTAAATGTTAGTTTTTTATTATAGGAGTATCACATGATTATCTATTATCGTTTTTTGTAGTTTTTGGTATTAATAAATTAACTGCTCCTCTCAAAACAATATAATAAATATATCCAAATTCTCCATAGTTGAAAATTACTTATTTTTTTTTATATGATACTGTTGACATTTCATTAAATAATTAAAGCATTGTATTTGTTTAAGTAATAAGACCTGGGTTATTTTGAAATAAAGGGAGAAACTATATAAATTTTTTCAAAAATTAGTTTTCTAATTATATTCTGTGCTTCTCTTTTAATATATCAATTACTAACTTGTATTATTTTATTTTATGTTTTGAACAAAAAAATAAATACTTATTATATTTGATTATCAGTTATATCAAAGTATGTAATATTTTTTATTTTATGTAGTCTTATTTATCGGCTTAATCCTTTCTTCATTTGAATTAAATTATTTTCATTTTAAATTGCTTAATAATTATTATTTTCAATGTTAGTTTTTGAAAGATTTGGTGTTTCAAATTAACTATCTTCTACTAATTCGTCCATAATTTATAAGTATTATTTAATAAATATTTTTTAAGTAAACAAATAAAATAATTTTTAATTAATCTATGTTTTATTATTTTAGTTAATAATTAATAAAATATAAATATACAATTATTTAAAAAAACAAAAAATTAAAACATTTTTTATCATAATTCGATATTTAAGTCTAAATTATCCATAGCTTTAAACATTTCTTATTTATTAATATATTATTTTTAGATATTTTTTTTATTTTCTAAAAACTCTTTTATTTTTAAAGGAACATAAATATATTATTATTTATCATTTTCTTTATAAATAATTGTGTCCTTAAAATTAATATTATCATTTAATAAAAATTCATTAGACAAATGTTTATTAGCTAGTTTTACTAAAATATATAATTAAATAATGTCTAATTTTGTTTTTACAAAGTCGTATAAATTTCATTAAATATATAAATATGCATAATTTATAAATCTTACTCTACAAATTAATTAAACTTATTTTTTTCAAATATATTATTCTTAAGTATATTTAATACATCCTTAAAAGGCTTTTAATTATCCTAAAAATTTATGTTTTATTATTTTAAATAAAAAAAATTATCTAATTTATTGTATTTCAATATATTCCAAATATTAAATATCATTAATAGTGAATTCTTTTATTTTTCCTATTAAGATTATTCAAAAATATTAATTTTTATGGATTTTATTAAATAATATTAATTTTCTTCTTATTCTAAGACTTTTAATTTTATCATTTTTTTAATACGATTAAAAAAACTATTTTCTTATAAAAATATAATAAATATAAAAATAAAATAAAAAAATATACATTTTATAATTTATATAAATCAAAAAAGAATAAAGTCTATAACTTATTTATAACTTATTTATATTTATTTTATAATTAGAAAGAAAAAATATTAATGAAAGAAGAAGAATAATTATTATAAAATTAAGAAGAATTTTAAAATGAGGAACCATATTAAGATGATTATAAAGATGTTTTTAAAAATAAAATAATCAATATTAATACATTTAAAAATTAAATAAAAAGATGGATAAACTAGATATACCTGAATATGAAAAAAAATAAGGAGGCATTTATTTTAAAAAAAATGATTACTTAAACGCTACTAAGCATTATTCAAAAGTAATAAAAAAAGTTAAAAATCCACAAAATATATTAAAATTATAAATAAAGGCTGTATTAGCATTTTAGTTTTTAGTAAAAGATCAAAGAATAACAACACAAGAATAGATGACTAAATATATAGAATAAATAGAGGTTAATTAATTTTTCTTATCATTATATAGCTAAAAATAAATAAAAAAAGCTACCCTGTTATTCTAATTTATCATTATGCAATTATAAATTAAAAGAATATAATCAATCTATAAATTTTGCAAGCAGAGTATTGAATATAGATATTTATAATGTAAAAGCTCTTTATAGAAGAGGAATGGCGAATTTAATGCTAGAAAATGTAAAAAAAATAAAAAATATTCTAATTTAATAAAATAAATAGATAAAAGAAGCACGAGAAGATTTGTAAAAAGCTTTTAAAATAGATCCTCTAAATACAGAAATATAATCTGGATTAGAGCTTTTATAAAAAAGAAAAAAGAAATCCAAGAAAAACAATAAAAGTTATCTAAAAAAATGCTTGAGAATTTAGACTATTCAGATAAAATAAATCAAAAAGAAAATTATAATAATTAAAAAAAAAAAATAATTATAGATTATATCTTTATTTACTTTTCCTAAAAGAATAATTACAGAAGCTTTTTATCATACAAAAGTTACCTTCTTTTTAATCGTAAATATATTTTTGGAAAAGTTTTGTAAAAGAAGAATACCTTCATAATATTATTAAAAAAATGAATGATAAAAAATAAAAATAAATCATAATATTTAATAAAATTTATTTATTAAATTATAAAAATAATCATTATAAATAAAATTAAAAACGAATTCAAATAAATATATATTATAAAAAAATATATAGAAGAAATATGGAAAAAGATAATAAAAAAAATATTCAAAAATTAGACTAAATTAGCAATTTTTCAGTTGAATTATAAAAAATAATAAAAACTTTTTTTTATAAATTTTTATAAATAAATTCATATTTTTTGTAAAAACTCCATATTTTATCACTATAATAAATATATTTTAACAATAAATAAGTAAAACTAAACATTATTTTAAAATTCTATACGTTTACTAAATTATAATAATAAAAAAAAAAATTTTGTTAAAACAAAACTTGCATACTTTTATTAAAAATATTATGAATTTATTGAAAAGAAATAAAAAAAAATAATAAAGTATATTATATATGAAATCTTTTAAAAAAAAAAAAAAATAAGATATGAAAAGACAAGAAAAAATTATTAAAAAATAAACAAAAAAAAAGTTTATAATATAGAAAATAAGATTATATAAAAAAAAAAAAC